TGTAGTTAAACACATCATAGACCTATGACATGTAGTTAAACACATCACAGACCTATGACATGTAGTTAAACACATCATAGACCTATGACATGCAGTCAAACACATCATAGACCTATGACGTAGAAAAACACATCATAGACCTTAAATATGTAAATATATCATAGAGTTGACATTTAGTTAAACAAATCATAGACCTATGACATGTAATTAAGCATATAGACCTATGGCATGTAGATAAACACATCGTAGACCTAAGAAATGTAGTTAAACACATGATAGACCTATGACATGTAGTGAAACACATCATAGACCTATGACATGTAGTTAAACACATCACAGACCTATGACATCTAGCTAAACACATCACAGACCTTTGCCATGTAATTAAGCATATAGACCTATGACATGTAGTTAAACACATCACAGACCTATGACATGTAGTTAAACTTTTCACAGACCTATGATACGTAGTTAAACACATCACAACATATAACATGTAGTTGAACTCATCACAGACCTATGACATGTAGTTAAACATGTCACAGACCTATGACACGTAGTTAAACACATTAGAAACCTATGACATGTAGTTAAAAACATCATAGACCTATGACATGTAGTCAAGCACATCATAGACCTATGACATGTAGTTAAACACATTGTAGACCTATGACCTGTAGTTAAACAGATCAGGGACCTATGACATGTAGTTAAACACATCATAGAACTATGACATGTAGTCAAACACATCATAGACCTATGACTTGTAGTTAAACCATCACAGACCTATGATGTGGATAAACACATCATAGACTTATGATATGTAAGTATATAATAGACCTGCCATTTAGTTAAAAACATCATAGACCTATGACATGTAGATAAACACATCATAGACCTAAAAGATGTTACATCACAGACAAATGACATGTAGGTAAACACATCATAGACCTATGACATGCAATTTAACATGTCATAGACATATAACATGTAGTTAAACACATCATAGACTTATTACATGTAGTTAAATACATCACAGACCTATGACATGTATTTAAACACATCATAAACCTATGACATGTAGTTAAAAATGTCATAGACCTATGACATGTAGTCAAAAACATCATAGACCTATGACATGTACTTAAAACACATTGTAGACCTATGACCTGTAGTTAAACACATCACAGACCTATGACATGTAGTTAAACACATCA